CATATGATCACTCATATATATATATATATATATATATATATATATATATATATATATACCTCAAAACATAGCCCAGGTCCCACTCAAGTTATCCACAGCGTTCTCTCGATCTCTCTCTGTCACTGGCCATCATTCTACAGTCTTCTTTGTCGCAATATTGTATTTATTACATACAAAAAATGAGGACAAGATCACCAATTCAAAGTCAAACTTGTTGTTTTTGAATCCGTTGTATAATGATGACCGGTCTCCTTAATTTGATAGAAAATTTTTGAGAGACTTGGATTTGAAATGATGTAAAATTATTAGTGTGTTTGGTTTATAGATTCGAAATCGAATTAAATTTGTTTCTTTATAAAAAGAATTAAATTACCATTAATTTAACTTATCATTATATATAAATGTTTTAAACATATTTTAAAACATTATTATATATAAATTCTACAATATCCCGTGAAATATCAACCATGGAGGAAATCTTTTGAACAAAAAATGGGGTTGAAATGGATTTCAATTCTAAATCCTTACAAATCCAATCTTGCAAATCAAACGGTGGCTTAGTTTAATTTAAAAGAAACTAGTTGAACCACACTTACAAGCTGTCAAACCAGGATGTTTAGATTATTCTAAGCAAAGTAAAAATCACCCTTGAATCATAAACTTTTTACGAATACACTTGGGGTGAAAGACAAAGTTCATTCTTCTTGTGAATGGTTATCCCTGGCGTAAACTCAAAGTCTATATCTTCCTTCTTCATACCATTCGGCAACTCCCAGTCAAACAAGTAAACAAGATTAGCAAGCAAAAGCTCTGTCGAGATAGCTCCCATTGAGATTCCAGGACAGATTCTTCGACCAGACCCAAATGGGATCAACTTGAAATCACTCCCTCTAAAGTCAACATCACTTCCCAAAAACCTCTCTGGTAAGAACTCTTCCGGGTTCTCCCAAGATTCCGGATCTYTTCCGATRGCGAATGCATTCACATAAACTAGGGTTTTCTGTTTGATTTGATAGCCATRCAAAATGGCATCTTTCCTTGTTTCTCGAGGTACTAAAAGGGGAGCTGGAGGGTATAGCCTCATGATCTCTTTTACCACTGCCTTCAGATAGGTGAGTTTTGGAAGATCGTCTTCGTCTATTTGACCTTTCTTTCCAACCACAATCCTTACTTCTTCTTGTGCTTTCTTCATCACTTTCGGGTTCTTCATTAGTGCTGTCATCGCCCAAATCACTGTAGCAGCACTTGCATCTGTTCCGGCTACCAATACATCCTAAAACAAGAACAATGGAAACAATTATATATGYAAGGGATTGATCTCCCAAGACTTTAGGGATATTCACAAAAAATGGTTGCTTCTGGAATTGCACATAGCCAACTTTTTGCASACTAAGGGGGTGTTTGGGATTGTTTATATGGAACAACTTATATTTTTTTACAAAAGTTTTTATCAACTTATTATAAGTTAGAATGGTTTAACTTCCTCAAAAACTTCTTATTATCGGTTTGACACCGCTATAAGCTTTTTATCAAAACACTTAAAAAATGTTTGTTATCACGGTATCACATCAAAATAAGTCCATAAGTTGTTTTTATAAGCAATCCCAAACATCCTCTAAAATARAATAATGGTCCGTTTTGCAAAGAACCCATTTTATTTAGCAACAACCCTTTTTTTGTCCCTTTTTAATTTTTGTGGACCCATGATGCAAAACGGGACCACAACATCTTCTTTTTCCTTGCAAAATTATTGTTTTGCGCTATGGGCTCACAAAATGTAGAAGACCGACAAAAAAAATCTTCRAAAGATTTACGAAACGTGTGGATATTTCGAAGTTAACGAATTTTGTGATTTGTTATCTCCAAGCGTTGCTATCTATGTGAATATCCCATGATTTTAACGGGAAAGCTTTTCAGAATGAGAGTTTGAAACTTTAGTGGGATATCCCGAAACTCAAACAAAAGTCTTAAGAGGGTAAGAATCGAATGTAGAGATGATGTGAATAGACATACTTAAAGGGATATAAAGATTACCGCTAGCATGGCTTTTATGTGATCGGAAGTGAGCTCAAAGGGACTCAAGACTTGATCTTTCTTGAGTTGAATTAAAATGTCAATGATGTCCAGCTCTTCGTCATGAGGCTTGGAGTTTTGAGGTTCGAGGTGTTCAWCAATTAGTTCTTGGTAAAACGAATCTAAATCATGGAAGCACTTTTCTAGCTGTTCCATCTTGCCCATTAGCCTATCAATCAAACCCACAAAAGGCAAACCAGGCCAAAGATCCGAAATGAAAAAGGTTGTTATTGCCGCCTGAAGTTCGCCAATAAGCCGAGAAACCCTCTTCCACTCAAGTGCATCTTCATACCTCTTGCCAAAACCCACTCGCAGTATGATAGCCAGCATTACATTCTTGATGATTTCGCTCAAGTTTACCTGCTTAGATGAAAGTGCTAGCTCATGTATCTTTTTCATGGAACGTGAGACCTCATCTTCA